GGATAGTATTAGGTAAGTTTGGGAAGTTTTTCTTTGACCCCCCAGTCCTGTACATTGCTACATTTACTGTGGTAAATTACACTTACATTGAACTGTAATACGTAAGTGTTATTTTTTTTTTGGTCAGTGTTGCAGACTTCGTGCACATCTGTGTTACCACTTCCTTTCCTGATATGCAGGAATATCTTAAATTTTGCTCACAACACTATCTCTTTTGACTGTCTTCGGTCATTTTTATATTAAATTCATTGTAAAGCTCTTACTTGCAGTTTTCAGAGTGCAGTCAGTATAGTGTAAATGTGCCACTTAATTTTATATTACTGTGCGTAATGTTTATTTGCCCATGTAGCACAGTGTTCTCTGTTGGAACTCTTGAGTTTGGCTCCATTTTCTTACACAAAGCAAAATTGAGAAGAATTGAAAGTCTGGAGCAACTTGACAGGAATGTTGCTATTGTGTCATGGTGAATTAATGGAATATTTCTACCAAGTTCATTTTGTTCATTTTATTCTGAATATAAATGAGAATTTGAAATAGAGTAGATAGCTATGAGCTTTTCTTAAAAGCCTGTGCAAGTCCAAACCCTTTGCACTGACTTTTCCATTGTTACTGGAACATCGTGTATTTGAAAGTCTCCTTTGGAGCAAAAATAAAAGTTAGGATAATGATTGAGTCAAATTCCAAATAGAAGCAAACAACGGGTGAGGGCCTATTAACAATAAATGGAGTATTTCAACTCCTGCTTAAGGAATGGGGTAGTCAAAATGTATTTATCGCTCTGTCTAGGTCTTGAAAACCACTACAGAAGCTTTAGTTGAAGTCAATATAAACAAAAATCTGGTGGGGTCTGCAATGGCTGGAAGCATAGGTGGCTACAATGCACATGCAGCAAACATTGTGACAGCCATCTACATTGCCTGTGGTCAGGTAGGTTTGTTCTCCACCAACTCAGATTTTCCTTAGTTCAGTAATTCTCAATCAAACACTTACTCAAGCGTCTCGATTTTTGTTTTGTTTCTCCTTCCTGATCCAAAGGATGCTGCACAGAACGTGGGCAGCTCCAACTGCATCACTCTGATGGAGCGCACTGGTTCCACTAACGAAGACCTGTACATCAGCTGCACAATGCCTTCTATAGAAATAGGGACTGTTGGTGGAGGCACCAACTTGCTCCCACAGCAGGCCTGTTTGCAGGTAAAATTCAGAAAGCTCAGATCAACTTAGCTTCTTAAATTAAAGCTCACACGTGACATACTTGGGCATGGACCCCATGCGGTATAATGGAATAATTTATTACAGTTCTTTCACAGTTTATATAACCCATTACATCAACAGTAAATTCCTGTTAGTAACTTTTCTCTAAATCTACTTTTTAGTTAAGCATTCTCTGTCCATGAAAATGTAGCACTACAGCAGTTTCCCACACAGGACGACACATCTCACCACGTCCGCTTTCATCTTGCCAAGTTTCCCTTAAGTTTCTCCCAGGGTCATAAAATCTTGGTTCCCTACACTTAACTTTCATGTGGTGTCCAAGTAATGTTGCAGGAATGAGGCCCCTTGAAACTTGCTGTATTTTCCATGAAGATTTCAGAATTGTCTAATGAATTGTTTTCATATAGCAGTTTCTAGAGCTTAAGACATTTATAACATTAGGGGGCCTAGTTGATAGGATATAATTAACATATATATATATATATAACATTATATATAACATTAGCTAGTTGATAGGTTATAATTTGGAAATTAATACTGAATTTAGCATAGATTGACAGCATAATATTGCCTGTATTTCTCTCCAGATGTTAGGGGTTCAAGGTGCCAGCCAAGATAACCCTGGTGAAAATGCCCGTCAGCTTGCTAAAATTGTCTGTGCTACAGTGATGGCAGGGGAGTTATCACTAATGGCAGCTCTGGCAGCTGGGCATCTAGTCAAAAGCCACATGATCCACAACAGGTAAAAAATGGAAAAATTCTTGTATTTTGTGCTGCTTTGCCCTTCTCATAAGTACTTGAAATTCAGTGATGATTACATGAATAACTGCAACACATAAGAGCAGTGTAACCTTCTAACTATCTAATTGCTTATCTTACTGTTTTATTAGGTCAAAAATAAATCTACAGGATCTTAAAGGAACCTGCACTAAGAAGGCGGCTTGAGTACTTTAAAATGGCTTTGAAATGAAGAATTTTTCTAGTAACTGACCAGGAGTACAGGGGAAAAAAAACCAAAATCTGTGAAGTTTAGAATGAAGATTGTCTTCAACTCAATGATGTCTGTGTAAGATAAACTAAGAGATCAACAGACTTAGTGAGACTATTTACACCTTTGACCTTCTTCAGTAGTGGTGACTTCATGACCGAAATTCTGTCAGATGTCTTGAACATGGCTTTGGAATTCTTAGTCTTACACATCATTTTCTAAAGGGTCAGTCTCTTAGGTTTTTACAAGTTGAGGTTATTTTGCTTACCAAGGTCCTGGTAATTACTAAGCTGAAAAGTGATATAATGTACTTTGGGTGTATAAAACAACAAAACAAAATAAGTTGGTGTAAACTTGGCTTGAATGCACGAGCCCTTGCCATTTTATTTTCTGGTTACACAAGCATGTTTTTTAAAGTGATGGCAAGCCTAATCACTTTCTGTAAACTCCCAGTTTTAGTTTTGTTCACATGTAAAACAGGTCTTAGGCTATCAGTTTAACTGAATTATACTAGTTTTTTAGAAATCTGTCTATATATATAGTACCTAATTTGCCGCTGCTTCAGCTAAGCAGTGTTCAATATTTTAACTCCACAGTTTAGGTTATTCCTTTATGTAAAACTTGTGATCTGTAAAGTTCTGACTGTTAAATATAATTTGTACTGAAGTAGGGAAAAACAGTGTCTTCAACAGTTTTGTTGCTTTGTTCAGATAGAAAAATGAAAGTGGTAACTCAAAAACAGTTACCTGTCAGACAAGACAGGCACGTAAGCAAATGCAGTTTCTCAAGCTTACTTTGATAGGAGTGCATTCAAACGAGTCAAAAAACAGATGTTTACACTTAGTTTAGAAGAAGTGTCTTTTAGGAATATAAAAACATGTTGTGTACCTTATGTTGGGGATTTTTTTTATACAGTGTCACTTATTCCCCAGGAATAGGTGTGTATTCACTGTTTATGCTAAAGAAAAATGAAGCCAGAAAAATCACACTGTTCTTAACAAAAAAAAAAATTTTAAAAAAGTATGTTGTTTTTATTATGTTTCAGTTCCCTTTTAAACTTTATTTTTGAGGGGGGAGTATTTATTTTAAGAAGAAATCTTACCCTTTTTTCAATGAAAATTACTAATTAAGGAAATTCAATGAAATGACATGTCAGTGTAACAAGCAGTTTTTTAATAAAATACTGTACTTGGACCAGTGAAGCAGTCTCAGGTGTTCTTACTGTAATAAAGAAAACCCAGGTTTATTCTGGTTTGATTCATCTTTGGGAATCTTCCTAAATGCATTGCCCTGTCTTGTTAATTACAGAAGGAAAATTATTGATATGCTTGATTTTTTTTTTTTTTTTACTTTTTTGTTTGTTTGGGATTTTTTGTTGGGGTTTTTTTTGAGTTTTTGTGAATAAATCAGTGGATTGGACTGGGTTTCCTGCAGCATCATTCCTAAAGGGGTGACTAGCAGAGGTGCTCTTCTAATGTGCAAATTTGATGTAAATCATGGGTTGCTTTGTAGTGCTTCAACACATTAATATCCATTGTAATGAGCTCATAAAGCTAATGTGCAAGCATGAAGCCATACTACATGCTAGATATGTTATGATGGCATGTAAATGTTAAATACCATGAATGTTTATCTTCTTGCAGTTTGTTGCTAATAGCTACTATTTTTATTTAAGGAAAGCTGGAAATACTCTGTTTCTATGTTTATTCAGTGATCTTATTTAAAGTAACACTGTTCTGTCAATAAATGGTGGTTCAGTGTTCATTTTGGTGGATTTAACTGACATTCTCTCTTGCAGAATTAACTTTTTGTATTATTACTAAATTGTGTACATTTTGGTACAGAACTACTTTTTCAGTGTCAGTAAAACCATGGAAAAGACATTGGCTTACTTGTGATATTTTAAGCTTACTCAACTCACCTTACACACTAGAAAAATTCCCAATAAAATAAATAGCCATTATTTAAACCTGCATTACCACAACAACTAGCCCCTTAATCAACCTTCTTCTAAACCAACTACAAAGCTGACATAACCCACAATTACCCCACTTCATTTCATAAACCCCTAACACAACCACCCTAAGAACCTACCACAATCAGAGAAAAAGGAACTAAAGCTTTATCACCAACTCCCAAAGCTGACATTTTAATTAAACTATTCTCTGAATTACATTCCCCCCTAAACAGCCCGAATTGCCCCTCAAGACAACCCCCACACAAGCTCCAAAACCACAAAGTTAATAACAGACCTCAACCTGCAACTAAAAACTGCCCCGCCCCTCAAAAATAAAATATAGCTACCCCATCAAAATCCAATCGAACAGAAGATACCCCCTCACAATCCACCGTACTTACCCCAACCAATCAGCCCCTGGGCAACCCAACAACAAACATCCCACCAGCCAATACCAAAATCAGTGCTACCCTATACCCTACAACTCAACGATCCCCTCAAGCTTCGGGAAAAGGATCAGCCACTAACAACACTGAGTAAACAAACAACCAATATCCCACCCAAATACACTAAAAACAATACGAGACAAAAGACACCCCTAAACTCACCAGCCACCCACACCCTACAACAGACCCCAACACCAACCCTACTACATGATAAGGAGAGGGATTGGAAGCCACTGCCAATCCACCTAAAATAAAACACATACTTAAAAAACCCCATAAAATATGTCATAAAATTCTTAACTTGGCCTCTCTCCAAGACCTATGGCCTGAAAAACCACCGTTGTAAATTCAACTATAAGAACCCACCTTTAAACAAACTCCCAACCCAACATAACTGGTGCGCAACTGCGTGGACATCGCCACGTCCAACAACCTGACGGACTTCCTGGTGGAGATGGGCTTCCGCATGGACCACGAGTTCGTGGCCAAGGGGCACGTGTTCCGCAAGGGCATCATGAAGATCGTGGTGTACAAGATCTTCCGCATCCTGATGCCCGGAAACACTGAGAGCATCGAGCCGCTCTCCCTGTCCTACTTGGTGGAGCTCAACGTGGTCGCACCAGCGGGGCAGGACGTGGTCTCTGATGACATGAGGAACTTTGCTGAGCAGCTGAAACCTCTGGTGCACCTGGAGAAGATTGACCCCAAAAGACTGATGTGATTGCAGTCTGGGCGGTTAAGGTACTCGTTTTGCAAGGGTTCCAGAAAAGGGTGTTTTTCTAAAAAGCTTTTTGAGGGCAAATCAAAACGGGGAGAGGGGAATAAAGGACTACATACCAGTTCTGTCCCTTGCAATTACTAAATGTTTTTTCCCTTCATTAGTGGATATGAACAAAAGTGGAGACATTAATACCATTAAAAAAAAAAAATTAAATGTTAATATTGGTAGTTCTCCTGCTGGGAAGTTTTCCTGTTAGAAAGCCTATTTCCTAACAATACCAGAGGCAAAAGTTACTATTTCAAACATGTCATTAAGTTTAGGGAACTGAATCATGCTCATTCCCCTGCATACGCCACAGTAGAGTGTTTCAACATCACTGCAATTTTGTGTTCAATTTCAGTACAAGAAACAGTCTTACACTGTTTGTTTTGTGTCCTTGGAAAAACCAAACCAGGTATCTGGAATGAAATTTCTGGAGCTGCTGTGACTTAAATGCTGTACTATTACAGCAATTGATACAGTTTCCCAAATATTTTAAAACCTTAAGAGAAAAAACAGTAAAAATACTGTGTTTGGTAATGCTTTGCTTCTCTGTTTATCTAGATTACCTCCTCTCTCCTCTGTGTCCTGAATCTACTGGTATTTACAATTCCTTGTAACACAACAGTCCCTTCCTGCTGCCTGGTGTGGAAGCTCTGGAGCTGTGAGGCTGCAAGCACTGCAGCCGCAGCTGCCTCTAACCACACACTTTTTGCCCACTTTGATTTCCCTCAGCTGGTGTAAGGCCCCACCAGTGAACAGCGTGTTACTGAATTTCCGTGACAGAGGGAGCGGCTCCTGTGCCTGTGGCACAGGGATGTACAACAACATTGCTGCACTCTGAGCACAGCTGTGATTCCAGGAGATGGGATGGGGCCCTGCCAGCACGGGTGTTCTGGGAGGCGCTCTGTTTCCCAGAAGAGAGCATGGCTGGGAGACTACTTGCTTTCTTATAGGAGCATGCAAGTATATCTGGGTTCTGGGTGTGTCTGTGCACAGACACTGTTAGGACGGTTTCCATCCTTGGCATAACCCTTGTTCATAAGGTGAATACAGCTGTGGTAGGTGGGCTGTCCTCCCACTTCTCCCAGCTGTCTTCTGGGGTGCTGTGAGAGCTGTTACTGCTGCTCATAGTGCTTTTTGGGTACCTTATAATCTCTGTCTCTCTTGGGACACTGCTTACCATTTTTAGGGTGTTATCCTCCTTGGTGAGGTAAGGTTTACACTGCACAGTGCTACCTGCTGAAACAAGATGGTGGTCTGGGATCCTCTGTGTTTTCTCAGGGGAAGCTTGTACTCCTCTCAGCTCCACCTAGCCTTACACACAACACAATGGCAGTGCTCTGCATCCAGTGCCACTCTTAGTACTGACAATTACCTTCTCTTCCTGCCCAGAGATGACTGCTGGCCCCAGGCTCACCTTGTTTACTAGCCTGTGGGAAGGAGAAGCCCTGCCTCCAAAGCTAACCTGATCTCTACAGACCTCCAGGGCTTCTGCAGATTACCCAGTGATTCATCTTCACCACCAGTTTATCTTCAGTCTTCTTTTAGAGGACTCTAGGGGTTTTAGCCCCAGCTACCATAGGTTCCTCCCATTTCATTCCCACTAAGGCACAGGCTATCTAGAAAAACATGGTGGGTTGACCCAGCTGTTGCTCACCCCCATCCCAGCAGGACAGGGGAGAGCATCAGAAGGGCAAAAGTGAGAAAACTCATAGATTGAGATAGAGACTGTTTAATAGGAAAATGAAGCTGCACATGCAAAGAAAAATGAAGAGTTTATTCAGTACTCCTCATCAGCAGGCAGACCCTCCACACACCATCAGTTTCTTGGTAGGACAAATGCCATAAACACGAACGTTCCCCCCTTCTCATTTTTTTCAGAGCTTTTAGTGTAGGGCTGGGCACAATGCCATAGGGTATGGAATATCTCAGTCGTCAGTTAGGATCAGATGTGACCCCCTGTGTTCCTTCACAGCCTCTAGCCCATCTGCAGCCCTACTCACAGGCAATGGGTGCAGCGGAAAGAAGCACAAAAAAGAAAACTTTGATGCTGGGCAAACCCTGCTCAGCAACAACCAAAATGCTGCTGAGTAATCAGCACTGTTAGTCACATCTAGAACACAGCCTCATACAGGCTGCTATGGAGACAACTAATTCTACCCCAGCCACAGCCTGTACAAAAATAGAAAATATAAATCCTGGCACTAGTATCCACAACAACTGAGATCCACAACAGCCAAGTAAAGACCAGCTCTTAGAATCACAGAGTGGTTTGGGTTGGAAGGGACCTTAAAGATCATCTAATTCCAACTGTAACCTAACACTGTCAATTACACAGACTGAGGAAGCATCAGCCTAACCGACCTGATGGTTCTTTCTTCCCATCATGTGGCCTATAGGTGGCACACAGCGAAGACATAATTATGCAGCTTTCCTCCTGTCCCTGTATCCTCCTGTAGGCCTCTCCCATAGACACAATGCACTAGTCACAGCCTGGGTGTCAGCAGGAGCCAGCTGTTTTTCCCTGCTCCTTGCAGCTCATACTAGGCAGCAGTAGCAGAATGGAAAACACTTACTTTTTTATCAACCACCAGAAACATAAGTTCAGGTTGCTCAAAGCCCCATCCAACCTGGCCTTGAACACTTTCATCTGCTACTTCTCTCTCCCAGTATCTGAGCAGCCTCACAGTAAATAATTTCTCCCTTACCCGCTTTATTCTTCTGGATAAGAATTCTACAAGAACTTTCACAAGTAACTGTAACACCAGGATGAAATGAACCGTGCCATATAAATTAAGCCAATTACCAGTCTCTCCTAGGACCACTGAGTGAAGGACCAGACTTAGGCAAGTCTACCATGCTCAATGCAAGTCTAAACGCACAGGTTTGTAACTTCTAGCTCTCCACTGGTTTGCCAAATTGCTTTCCTACTTCCCCTTAACAAACCATTGGTCTCCAAGAGCAGGTGGAAGTCAATCCTGTAGTGTGTGTATGCCATAGGCTGCCATCATCGATCCACAATCTCAGAAGTGTGTTCTTCCAAGGATGCAGTCACCACTTAAAGCTGCCTTGGAAATCTTCACCCTCAAAACTACTGGGTGATACTGCAACAGTCCTCTGCCCAGTACTGATTGCTCCAACAGTGTTTTGCCCACAACCCACACCCAGCCAAAGCCTCCTTTATACCCTGTCCAAGGGTGCACGTGCTGCCAAGGGTAAAAACTCTTTGAAAAAGGTACTTGGAACAAGCCATGTACCAGTGTAATAGTACACAGAGTAGTCCAGCTCACTCTTCTTCTTTTCTGTATGAGAGCTGGTGTAGCTCTGAGTGAGCTAGTCCAGTTTAACAACTCTAAAAGTTAAAGTAAGTTCTACTTTTGTGAATATTGGGAAAATGAGCAGGTCTATGAGGGGCACACTGCTGTTCGGCTAAACAGAATTGTACTTTTTGAGCAATAATCTTGGTTTTCCCATATGAAAATTGTTTCAGGGTTAGTAAGTCTAAAGGGTTGAACATTCCCTAAATAAATGTTCTCACAGTAGTTTCTTTTAATATTTAACAATGCCCCCTACACTAACCATTTAAAATCCAGGGAATAGAGTCACATGGTATAGAAAACTACATGCAACTTCAGTTTTTGCTTTGGTGATACAAATTTAGGAACAGGGCCAAGTCCGGAAGCCACCAGGCTGGCCAGCTCATTGAAATAATCTCACTTGGAAAATGTCCCTGCTTTGTGAGGTGGGAAGGAATAAATCATAACATGTATTACACTGAGGCTGGTAATGAGTCATGAATTACCTGACTTCGTTTTCTCTCTCTGTGCTGTAAGCTTATGTAGTCCCTTTATTTACAATAGTGCCTCAGCTATTGACACATCATTGCTTGTAATGAAATGGCTAAGAGCAACCCAGCCCCTGAGTTATCTAAAACAGAAAATCACTTAGTGAGTAATCCTAGTTTTGAAATTCTGTTGACAGCTTTACAAAACACAAATTATATAATGAACTTGTGATATAAATTGCCTATTACATAACTGAGTGGAGTAATTGCTCCTCCCTTCAAGAAAAACACTGAGGTCCTGGAGTGAGTCCAGAGAAGGGCAATTGAGCTGATCAAGGGTCTGGTGCACAGGGAGCAGCTGAAGGAGCTGGGGTGTTTACCCTGGGGAAAAGGAGGCTCAGGGGAGACCTTATTGCTCTCTGCAGTGACCTGAAAAAGGAGGTTGTAGCCAGATGGGGGTTGGTCTCTTCTCCCAGGCAACAAATGGCAGGACTTGAGGACAAATGGCCTCGAGAGGAAATGGCCTCAAGCTGCACCAGGGAAGGTTCAGGTTGGACATCAGGAGGAATTTCTTCACTGAAAGTGTTGTCAAGTATTGGAAGGGGCTGCCTGAGGAAGTGATGGAATCACCATCCTGGGAGATGTTAAAGAAATGACTGGATATGGCACTTAGTGCTATGGTCTAGCTGATGTGGTGATGTTTGTTCATAGGTTGGACTCAATGACCTTGGGAGTCTTTTCTACTTTCAATGATTCTGTGATTCTGTGAATTAATTTCAAAAAGCTTGCACACAGATTTGTGGAGTGAAAGGCTTTTTGTTATTAATTCACCATGAATGAATGGAACACGTAAGCTTAGTCTGAAAGAATTTTGATTGATAGATGTGACAAAGTGGACCCAAAGCCTGTGAGATGAGTGAGGAAAAAAATCCCAGTTTTGGTAACAAGGAAGAAAAAAACTTTACATCCAGTTTACATCTAACTGACCCTCCCTAATACTGGTGTTATTTCAGTGTGAACATGGCTGGATCACTTATTTCACCTGAGGTTCCCCTGCAGAGCTCTGCTCTGAGCACTCAACAAGTTGTGACACAGAGCTGAGATAAAGGCCTGGCCCCACACGGGCATCCTATTTCCCTGACTCTACCAGGTGAGTAAGAAGGGTTTTAAAGGGACTTGAACAGAACTTAGGTAGGTGGCTGGGAATAACATGTTTATCCCCCATCTCTATCTCTGTTTCTCTCCACCTCCTCCATCTGTCTGATCAACTGTCTTTGGTGTCTGCTGCATCT